GCGGATTGCGACAGCACTAGACGACGAAGGAGGAACAAGAACCCCAGACCGCTGTCACATGAATGCGATCTCCACGATATTCTGTAACAGGCCTGACTCCACGACGGTAGAGGCAAACCGGAAACTGTCGCACGTTGCGCTGGAAATCGTTCCCAGTGTCACCTGAAACGAAGTGGACCGGACAATCAAAAGTAACAGAAGTCCTGGCAAGGACGGCTAAAGACCATAGCAAGTCAAGACAGGAGGGATGATCATGTTCAAAGCCCTTCTGAAACGACTTAAAGAGTACATTAGGCTGAAGAAGACTCCAGAAACATGGAAGAGCTGTTTCCGAACAGCGTTGTCCACCACCGACACATTCATAGTTGTCTGAGAAATGCATGGAATATCAATTCCCACTCTACTATGCATTCACCGAGTTGAAAAGGAGCCTTTGATTCCTTCGAGCAGAGCACTATACTATTCGCTTTGGTAGAGTACAGCATCGACCTCTTGTTGGCGTCGACCTCACGGAGAAACTCAACACTGACATAGCAATCAATGTCCAGCGGTTCGAGGAACCGTGTCGAATCGACATCAGAAACGTAGTACGCCATAGAGACACTATCCCTGTGAAGCTTTTCGCAACGGTGCTGGAATCAAGCTTAACTGGGGTGGCAACATCAGCTTCCGCTCTTTGCAAACGACGTCGTCATCTTCGCCAAAGACCTGGCGAAACCGAACCCCAAACAAAGATTTTGCGGTTGCCGAAAGAGCCACGCACCATCGGCTGGGAGATGAACTTCATGCGCCTTGCTCTGCAGGTACAATTTTCAATGACGGCGAAGAAGCCCAATGAAGTAGCTAGTTTCCTATACATCTGCCACTTAAGAGACTCCCATGACAACATCAATGGTGAGATCAGCAGAGAAAAGAAGACGGCATGGCCAAATTTCAGTCACATTAAAACATCACTGGTGGATAAAGAACTGTTCATGCACACGAAGAAATAACTGTTTGACTCCGCCGTCCTACCTGCTATCACTTATGGTGCGGAGTGCTGGTCTGCTGCCAATGATGAGGGGGGAAGAAACTAGTAGAATGCATAGAGCGGCAAAAAGAATGACATACAAGGCCTCACTTCGAGACCATGTTCCAAGTGCGATAGTTAGGTGTAGGATATGATTTTAGGATGTAATTACTGCCCCCTCTCCCATTCGATGAGAGGATGGGTTGGCCATGTGGGTCGTCTAAATGACAACAGGTACATATCACGAAATGCCAACAGGATCCTCCTCTCCAAACGGACTTCCGCTCGGTAGCTCACCAACACGTCTGGACGACCCAGTAACGAAGCCGTATGGTCAACCGTAGAAGCATATTGCACAAAACCGAGAAGAGTGATGGAACGTCGACTGGCATCTGTGGCGCAAAAGCTGACGGAAAAAAGTCTGATTGAAGGATGCTAAATTGGCAGGCATCTTAACATTCGCATCAAGCATGAAAGTGAAAAACCTGCAAATTTCTCTGCACAAACGTAGGTCGAATGCGCAATTGGAAGTGAGCAAGTGTGAATTCTTTCGAACACTAGTAGTCTGTATACCCTGTCGTTTACACTGAAACAATAAGTGTGCCGTTTGACAACTTAAAAGAAAAGTTTGCAATTCACGATAGGGTATGGCGAAAGCAGTTACATTGTCGATCATTCAGTTTCGATTACCACTCCCCGTTTCGAATCACGTTGATATATTCTTCCATAACGTTCCAGTTCCTGCGCAAGAGCTTCGACTTCACCGAAGATAGCTTGAGTCTGGAGCAGAGTCCTTCCATACACTTGCCCCCCCCCCAAGTTATTATTGATGGTCTCCGGCGTCATCAAATATTTCGTTGTAGCTATTTCGCCTCCTCACACTCGCACCACGTGTCCAAACCATTGCAGCTGTGATTTATCAATGCGGACAAGCATCGGCTGTACACCAAGGTTCTCTCAGATTCCTGTTCTCTGAATCATGTCGAAACGCGTAAAGCTAATTGCTCAGAGGTCTAATTTAAGCCGTTTGTACCCGAGATCGAAGTTTTTCAGTCATGGCCTACAACTCATGACCGTAGGTTAGCATGGGGATAATGATCGACTTGAATACCGAGAGCTCAGTCCTCAGATTCGCCTTTGCTTTAGTCACAACACAACTTTCCGCGTTAGTTCACGCAGAACGACACTGGTCATTCCACTCAATTTCATTCCAATTCTCTGAGTTCATCCGATAGTTATCTCAGAGCGATGATAATTAGCAACTGCTCGTTTCTGACCCGATGGTATTACTGCACTTGGAGGATGGTGCACAGAAAACGGTTGTTGGAAGCTGCGTGAACTAGCTTCATGACGGCTGATGCTTCGAGACTGTACATGAGCATCACGAAAATGACCGATGTCAGAATGGCGACATTCGTAACTATACTGTTATCACAGTCCGGTGATTCCGTGTTATACAGCTAACCATAATTCGGTGATTCCATCTGATACGCTGAGCTTTTTC